AGTCATTGTGTTTTTCAACTCCAGGATTCTGTTTCTTTTCTTTTTTTTTAAATGGTTTTTAGCTCTTTCTTCTACTTCATTTTGTTCATGTATTGTTATCCTGATTTTTAGTTATCTGTATATTCTTGTAACTTACTGAGTTTCCTTAAGATGATTATTTTGAATTTTTTTTGTCAGCAATTACAGATGTGTTTCTTCTATGTTAGTTACTGTTGCTTTATTTTGTTCCTCCAATAGTGTCATGTCCCCTGTTATTTGTGACCCTTGTGACTTTGTGTTTCATATCTGCATATTTGAAGAGGCACCCCTTCAAACCGTGCTCCAGTAGTGAAATCCCCTCAAAAATTATTCTATCCAGAGATTCTGGGTGTGTCAGCTAGTGGGGTTCATGGGTAGGTTTGTTCCTAGTGTATGGGTCACCAAATTGGTGGGTTTGACACCTGGGTGCATGGGGTGGGCCTGGTGTCTACCTGGGACTGCAGGGGCAGGCCCAGAGCTTGGATCCATAATGGCAAATCTAGCACTGGGGTCTACTGGGCTGGGCCTGTTGATTGGGTCTGTGCAGGCTACCTGGAGCCTAGGACTCCATGGATTGGACTGGTGCTAGGGTTCACTGGTCTTGGCCTGGGGTCTGGGTCTGTAGAGATAGGCCTAAAGCCTGGGCCCACAGGAGCTAGCTGACTGTTGCTGTGGCAGGCTTTGAACTCAGTATGCAGGAGCCATCCTTGGTGCTTGAGTTGGCCTGGTGTCTGAGTCCATGGGAATGGGCCTAGTCATGAGTCCCTGGGGGCCAGCCTGGTTATGGGGTCCATTGGCACAGGACTGGTGCTTGGGTACATGGAGGTTGGCCTTGTGGCTGAAACTATGGGTGCTGGCCTGGTGCTGGGACAGGCCTAGAGCCCGAATCTATGGCTGCAGCCTGATGTCTGGATCTGTGGGAGCCAGTATTGTGCTGGAGTGGGCTGGGAGATTGTGTTGGCTGGACTGGAGCCTTGTGTCTGGGTCCACAGGGCAGGCCTGGATCCTGAGCCATAGTGGTGGACTTGGAGTCTGGATCCTAAGGGCTAGCCTGGCACTGGTGCAGGCCTGGAGCTGAGGCCTGCAGGGGCTTGCCTAGAGCCTGGGTTCACTGGGAAGCCTGGTGTTGCAGTCCATGGCAAAGTTGGGTGCTCTCTTCACTCCCCTTCCACTACATGGAGGGCATATTTCTCCACAGTTTACTGAGGGCATGGGGAAGGAGTGAGGCAGGTAGTATGAAATTGTCCTTTTTACCCTCTTGAATGCATCTTTTATTTCTGTGCTCCTCCCAAATGCTGTAATTGGTCATTTGGGTTTCTTCTTGTGAAGATGAAAAAACTTCAGTGTGGATGGTTGTTCATATTAATGTTTCTATATGAGGACAAGTGCTAAACACTCCTTTTTCACAATCTGGCTATTATCACTGCTCCAATTCGTGTGTATGTGTGCATGCATGTCACAGTTCTATGATCTTTTTATACATGCATAGATTTTTAAATACTTATTGTATTTGTTTCCCACAAACAGTTTATAAAACAATTCCAACACCTCAAAGAATTCCCTTGTACATCTCCCTGGCAGCCACTGATACGTTTTCCTTATATTCTTACCTTTTCCAGAATGTCACATAAATGAAATCCTATGGTAGGGAATTTTTTACTTTTTAAAACTGGGTTCTTTCCTTTAGCATAATTTATATGAGGTTTATCTATATTATTGTACGTATCAGTAATTCCTTTTTATTGTTTACTATTCCATTATGTAGGTGTTCCACACTGTATCCATTTATCCACTGAAGAACATTTGGGTTCATTACATTTTTTTAGTGATTAAAATGATATTGTATGCACTTCTGTAGGTTTTTGTGTGAATATAAATTTTCAGTTCTCTAGTATAAATATCTAGAAGTGGGATTGCTGGATCATATGGGAAGTATATGTTTAACTTTTTAAGGAACTGCCAAATTGTTTTCCAGAGTGGTTTCACCATTTTTCATTCGCCTTAGCAATGTATGAGAGTTCCAGTTGTTCCAAATCCTCTCAGTGCTTGGTATTGTCACACATTTAGGGTTTTGAAAAGTCCCAGATTATAAACTGATGAATATCTCAAATGGTAGAACATCCTAGATGAATGTTAGAGAACAGTGTTGACACCTGTGCTTTTAGCTATTGCATATTACTTCTGAGTCAGGGCATGGCAAGCCTGGTTCTATTGCTGGACCACAGACTGAGTGGAGAAATTCAAGCCTTACCTGGCACGAAAGACTCAGAGTTGAGATGCACTATGCATAATCTGATACTTGGGGACAGGAAGGCAACAAGCTTATTTACATACACACATTACCAGAAAGTACATAGGAAATGAAGGAACCATGTTTGTAAGATGGAGTTCATTTACAGTTGGGAAAGCTCTAACATTATCTTCATGATGCTTGGATGTCTGGCATTGACCATGATTGAGATAACGGCAGAGATACGTGAGGTGCTATTTAATGTCTAAAGTTCCCCTGTAGGCCACAAAACCAGCTTGTTTAATAACTGTGATTATATAGACTAGGTTGACTACATAACCAGTGAACAGAGGGGCATAGAAGCCCATGCAAGGAACTTCTGCCTTGAGCTCTCCTGAAGTAGAGATTCACACTGATCTTAGTGGTTCAACCTGGAGACAGAGTGCAGTCTGTATGATAAGGACACTGGGGAGCTTGCACCTGGGTAATTCTCAGACTCCCCAATTGCTTACCTACGCTTTCTTTCTCTTGGTGAGCCACATCCTTTGCTTTTAAATGAAAGCATTACATGCATATGCTCTGTGGAATCTTGTCAGTCCTTTGCACATGTTAACTCTTTCACCTCATGACTTTGCAGTTAGGGCTGTAAAATACGAATCTGTGAATTAATTCCTAGTCTGGTAATATATATTTAGGAGTAAGTGGACTTGGATTCCAAGATCATGTTCACTCCTAAGGGCTGCCCAAACTTAATTCACCTATAGATCAGTTAGCTTAAAAGTCCTCATTTCATATATTTATTCATTCATAAAATGTTCATAAACATTAACGAAAAAGAGCATGCGCAACTTCTTCAAAGGATATCTTCATACAGGGGTATGGAATATAACCCAATCCTGTTTCAGACCAAAGTATAAAATATTGGTCCTGCATTTCCTAAGAAGCAGCTTATATGTGAAGAGCTGTTAGAAACCAGAATTCATTTAGACTTTCTTCAAAGCATTCAGAGTACCTTCTACAAGGATATAGCTGTACTTATTTCCATTGGATTCCATACCTTGATTTCTCTCTGCATCTAGTTCATGGAACCTCAGGGAATGACTCTGCACAGGCTCTTTTGAAGATAGACTTGCTTCCCTCTGCATTATCCACAGTAGGCTTGTTGGGGTGATTTTCATTTTTTTGCAAAATTGTGAAGAATGCATTTGTATAGATAAGCTAACCAAGTTACTAAGTATAATTTATTTCCAGAAAATGAGAAAGAAGATAGTATAGGAACACTTCAGTGAGTTATTCAGGTATTTAATTGCAAATAAAAAATACAGCCAAATCTTCTAAATCTTCAGCTGTATTTCAGGATCAGTTTTTGTTTTTTGTTTGTTGTTGTTGTTTTTTCTTTCTGCTTTTTTAGGATCAATTTTTGTTAATGCCTAAAATCTAGTAGTCACTACATTTTTGCTTACTGACTCTAAATCCAGATATTCATACCATTATTTTTATAATAGATATGCCTAGATTTTTTTCTTTTTTTTTTTAATGTTTTTTTTTTTTAATTTATTTCTAGGAGAGAGAGAGAGAGAGACAGCGTGAGCAGGGGAGGGTCAGAGAGAGAGGGAGACACNATAGGCTCCAGGCTCTGAGCTGGCAGTCAGCACAGAGCCCGACGCGGGGCTCGAACCCACGAACCGCGAGATCATGACCTAAGCGAAAGTCGGACGCTTAACCGACTAAGCCACCCAGGCGCCCCTAGATTTTTTTCTTTTAATCAATCAAATTTAATTTTTAAGATGTAACCATTTTGTGGGGCAGGAATCTGAAAAGGAGTTAGCTGAGCAATTCTTGCTTAGGGTCTTTCTGGTGCTTCCAGTTGGGCGTTAGCAGAGGCTACAGTCATCTGAAGACTTGATTAGAGGTCCCAGATGGCTTATTCATACAGTTGACAGATGTTACTGGAAGATGGCTGAGAGCTTAACTGGAGCTATTGACCAGGTGCCTACACATAGACTCTCTAGCATTTCGATCTCAGTATGGTTAGACTTCTTTCATGGAAGCATTTTTTGCCAGTTTAGTTCCAAACTTCATCTGGTCTTTTTTAATATCCCTTTCTTTAGTATAAAATTTTTTATGTTGTAGAAGGAGTGAGCTATGACTAAAGCCATTCTTAGGACCATTTCATTTAAAGAGTTCCCATCCAATGTGAATTCCATGGTGTTGTGTATGATTTGAACTATGGCCACAAGCTTTTCCATATTCATGATTTTTATGCATCCAACAAGACATAGGCTATAGGTAAAAGCTATCTCTGTCCCCTTTACTGTACTCATAGGGGTTTTCTCCAGAAAAACTCTCTAATGCAAGAAAGCATGCTAGGAGCCTTCCTTGCCTTAGTATGACCTTTGGATTTCAAGTATGGCATTACTATGGCTAGAGGGAATCTCACATTTATTAGATTTGTTTGGTTTTATATTATTTTGGGCTGTGGCTAAAAGCCCTTGTAATGCATTATATTTGGCTTCTCAGTTTCCACATTTATAGTTTCCCTCTAGTATGAATTCTCTGGTTGGAACCATCACCATATTGCTAACATTAAGAGCTGTTTTCTTTCAGAGTGAATTATCTCATGCTGTGAAAGTTCTGAGTTGTTTGGTAGGATCTACCAAAGCTGACCAAACATCCATATGCTCCAAGACTCAGTAATCCCACCTGTATTATATACACATGAGAAATGACTATATGTACACCAAAAGACAAATATGTTCACAGAAGCATTATTTATTATAATCCTAAGCTGTAGACAATGGAAAAGTCCACCAGCAGTAGTTGGATAAATTGTGATTTAATCATGTGATGGAATTCTATATAGAATGGAAATAAATGAACTTCCTCCACATGCACTAATGATAAGTTTTAGAGACCTAATGAGGAGTGAAACAAGCCATATACAGAATACATGATGTATAATCCAATTTATATAAAGGCTCATAATATGCAAAACCCAATTTATAATGTTAGAAGTCAGAACTCTGGTAAAATTTGAGGAAGTAACAACTAATTTTTACTTCATATTTGCGATGAAAAATACAGTTCACACTTCCTTTCTTTTAAAACACTTCTGCTCACAGTATGGTCCATGGACCACTGCCAGAACTGTTTATTATGGGGTCACAAGAATATGTGTACTAAAATCGAAAATAAGCTATTTTACATGTTTGTAGCAACTCGGCAGAGGAAGTTTATGCTTGCTGAATCTAATAATAAAAAATGTAGGGTTGTATTTTCAATAACTTTTGTCATTAGTCATTCTTTTTGTGTTTTATAGGCTCACAAACAATATGTGAGTATAGTACCTTAAATAAATATGTTGTATAGTAAGTTAAAGTGTTATATACCATTATGCTTGCAAGCAGCATCATGTATAGAGCTTACTATTTAAGTTTCAACCAAAAAAGTCGTATCCTCTACTGAATTCCCATGGTTTCTACCTTGTGAGTTTTCTGATGTACAATGAGGTTTGACTTACAACTGAAGAACTTCCCACATTCTTTACATTGATATGGTTTCTCTCCTGTGTGAGTTTTCTGGTGGCGAATGAGGTTCGATTTCCTACTAAAGGCTTTCCCACACTGAGGACATCCATTGGATTTCTCTCCTGTGTGTATCCTCTGATGAACAGTGAGGATTGCCTTCTGGCGGAAGGACTTCCCACATTCATTACAAATATAGGGTTTTTCTCCTGTATGAATTCTTTGATGGAGAGTGAGGGTTGTCTTTTGGCAGAAGGACTTCCCACATTCATTGCAAATATAGGGTTTCTCTCCTGTGTGAGTTCTCTGATGTACAGTGAGGGTTGTCTTCTGGATAAATGCCTTCCCACATTCATTACATTGATATGGTTTCTCTCCTGTGTGAGTTCTCTGATGATCAATGAGGTAGGATTTCTTTCTAAAAGCACTTCCACACTGAGTACATTCATAGGCTTTCTCCCCTGTATGTGTTTTGTGATGTCTAGTGAGAGTTGCCTTCTGGCGGAAGGACTTCCCACAATCCATACAGATGTAGGGTTTCCCCTCTATATGTGTTTTCTCATGAAGAGTGAGGGCTGTCTTTTGGCGGAAGGCTTTTCCACATTGATTGCAAACATAAGGCTTCTCACCTGTGTGAATTCGTTGATGTTCAATGAGATATGACTTCCTTCTAAAGCTGTTCCCACAATAAGGACACTGAAAGGGTTTCTCTTCTGTTTGGGATCTCTGATGCATGATAAAAATGGACTTCCTGCAGAGGAACTTCCCATATTTGCTGTATGTGTGGGGTTTCTTCTCAATAAAAGTTTGTGAATGGACACTGAGATTTGACTTTTCAATTAAGGCTATTCCATCTTTATTATATTCAAGGGGTTTTTCTCCTCTATGAGCCCTAGTATGTGAAAATAACATTCCTTTCATAAGGAAGGATTTTTCACATTCATTATGATCTAATGATTGCTCTGGAGTTTGATCCTTCCGGTGTTGAATAAGCTCTTGTTTACCACTCACATTCCTTTCTGTTTGTTTATAGAGATTCACTGTAGTATGAATTTTCTCATTCTTAGTATTGAGGAATGATTTCTCCCATCCATTACTCTCACCAAACTTCTCTCTTCCGGGGCTTATATTTCTACTGAATAATTCTGAAATATTTTTTAAAACCTTTCCATCAGGCTTATATTCACATAGTGCTGTTTTTGAAATAATACGGTTCTTGCCTATAGTAAGAGTTTTCCCAAAAATATTACTTCTCTCCTTAATTAGTCTTTTGTGGTTGATGAATATGACTGATCTAGAATGCCTGTCTTGGTATTCTTTGAACTTCACTAAAACATCTTCAGCTTTCCCATCTTCTTCTAGAAAAGAATACAATAATACTGTAAGTCTTCACATAAATATTATGGATTGAAAGTATATACAAACAACCTATTGAGTGACTGTCTGCCTCACTATTGCAGTCTACAGAAAGGCCAAAATAAATTCCTCTTGGTAGGGAAAATTCATATGACAATAACTAAATCCTGCTACACTATTAAAATGTGGAAAAATTAGCATAATGAAAGAACACTCATGGGGCACCTGGGTAGCTAAGTTGGTTAAGCATCAAACTCTTGATTTTGGCTCGGGTGGTGATCTCACAGTTGTAAGTTGTCCACACTGGCAGTGGAGAGCCTGCTTGGGATTCTTTCTCTCTGTCCCTCCCCTGGCCTCCATACACACTCCCTTTCCTCAAAATAAACTTAAAAAAAAAAAAAAGAACACTCATATTTTTGGCATATTATAAATACAATACCCACATTGAGCAGGTGTAATAAACACAAGGAGAAGTAAACAGAAGACAAAGATTGATGAAAATGAGATTGTTATCAGAATGGGCAGATTCAGAAATAATGGGGGCGCCTGGGTGGCTCAGTCAGTTAAGGATCTGACTTTGGCTCAGGTCATGATCTCAGGTTCATGGGTTCGAGCCCCGCATTGGGCTCTGTGCTAATAGTTAGCTCAGAGCCTGAAGCCTGTTTCAGATTCTGTGTCTCCCTTTCTCTCTGACCCTCCCCTGATCATGCTGTCTCTCTCTCTCAGAAAAAAAAAAAAAAAAAAATAGAAGATTCAGAAATAATGGTGTGAGCTTATTAAGGGTACTAACCAGTAATCAAAGAAAATGTTCAGTTAGAGATGAAAGCCTAAATATTTATTACCTCATGTCTAAATAAGTGTTATAAAATACTTCCATTAGTTTCTTCCTCTCGCATTTAACCATCCATGGCAAATGACTTTTCTTTTTCTTTTCTTTTAAAAAAAATTTTTTTTTTAATATTTTATTTATTTCTAGGAGAGAGAGAGACAGCGTGAGCAGGGGAGGGTCAGAGAGAGAGGGAGTGACAGACTCCGAAACAGGCTCCAGGCTCTAAGCTGGCAGTCAGCACAGAGCCCGGTGCGGGGCTTGAACCCACGAACCGCAACATCATGACCTAAGCGCAAATCGGACGCTTAACCAACTAAGCCACCCAGGCGCCCTTCTTTTTCTTTTCTTTTTTTTTTTTTTTACATTTATTTATTTTTGAGAGACCGAGAGAGACAGAGCGCAAGTGGGGAAGGAGCACAGAGAGAATTAGACACAGAATCCGAAGTAGGCTCCAGGCTCTGAGCTGCCAGCATAGAGCCTGATGTGGGGCTCGAACTCACAAACCATGAGATCATGACCTGAGCCAAAGTCAGACGTTTAACTGACTGAGCCACCCAGCTGCCCTGCAAATGACTTTTCTCAAGCACTCATTTCCTAGTGTTGAGAGGAACACTGTTTTATAGCCTAGGCCCTAACTCTCCACACAACTTATTTTCTCTTAAAAGGGAAGACTTTGGGAAACATATTTCCATTAGGAATTGTAAAATAAACCAGAGGACAAAGCATACTTGAATGTGAATATAATCACTGATGTATTCTAACTACTACTACCAGAGCATTTATTCTTCCAGAGATGGTCAATAATTAAATTCTCCTGACCATCAATTCTAACTTTTCCTCCTTTCATTTGCTGAATTACTTTTTCAGTTTTTAGGAAGGATGGGTTCAAGTTTTCCTCCCAATGCAGTAACATACCTTAACTCCACTATTCCCTAAGGGGGTTATGAATGACTGGATTCTTCAACTGTATGCTTATAATGCTGACTTACTCTATCAATTTTCTTATAAACTTTTGTCTATATCTTATTATTGTTACCTTACTGCCACCAATGCCTAGTAGGGTAATTTTAAATATGGATTCATCTTACCCATGACTGGTGTCTTATTTACAATAACCCTTAACTGGTAACTGCCCAAGTATCAATCAAAAGGTAAATGGTAGGGGCGCCTGGGTGGCTTAGTCGGTTAAGCGTCCGACTTTTGCTTAGGTCATGATCTCGCAGTTTGTGGGTTCGAGCCCCGCGTTGGGCTCTGTGCTGACCACCAGCTCGGAGCCTGGAGCCTGTTTTAGTCTGTGACTCCCTCTCTCTCTGACCCTCCCCTGCACATGCTGTCTCTCTCTCTCTCTCCCAGAAATAAATAAAACATAAAAAAAAGGTAAATGGTAATATTGTGTCTTGTATGTATAAAATAGAATACTACTTAGCAATAAAAAGGAAAAACACCTAGTGATACACAATGACAAAAGAGATGAATCTCAAACATTTTTCAGAGTGAAAGCTTTATGCAAAAGAGCATATACTATACAATGCAATTTATGTGCAAATATAGAACACACTAAGACTAATCTGTATTAGTAAATGGAGTTACATCATCTTCCTGAGAACCTCAACCACCTTCAGGAACATGCTACTATCCAATTTATCCAAAAACTTTCATATATAATTACTATCCTTTAATGTCTAATTTGTCTGAAATTAGATTATAATTAGTCTGGACCAAACATTTAAAGAAATCTTTTGGGGTGCCTAGGTAGCTCAATTGGTTAAGCGTCCGACTTTGGCTCAGGTCATGATCTTAGAGTTCATGGGTTGGAGCCCTGAGTTAGGCTCTGTGCTGACAGCCAGCTCAGAGCCTGGAGCCTGTTTCGGATTCTGTATCTCCCTCTCTCTCTGACTCTCCCCTGCTCACGGTCTCTCTCTCTCCCTCTCTCTCAGAAATAAAACATTAAAAAAGTTTTTTAAAGAAATTTTTCAATAACCTGCTATTTTAATATGAATATTATGTGCAAAATACTCCATTTGATAATATTGCCTTGCCATCCAAAATTTATGCTCTTGGAAGTCAATATTTTATTGATTATTTTCTGAGTATACATTAACACATGATTATCTGAGATAAAGGGATGTGATCTTGGCATGTATATATATATATTTTTTAATGTTTTATTTATTTTTGAGAGAGAGATAGAGACAGCATGAGCAGGGGAGGGTCAGAGAGAGAGGGAGACACAGAATCTGAAGACTGGCTCCAGGCTCTGAGCTAGCTGTCAGCACAGAGCCCGATGCGGGGCTTGAACCCACTAACCTTGAGATCATGACCTGAGCTGAAGTTGGACGCTTAACCGACTGAGCCACCCAGGCGACCCCCTGGCATGTATATTAAAATAATTTATCATTAAATGATTTCTGAATGGATGAGAAAGATGTTTTCCTTGCATGGTATCAAAGATAGTTGGGTAACTACTGAATATCTAGCCTCTGTTACAAGCTACAGTAAGGAAAAGTAAATGAGAGAAACTTACTTGAGGGAGTTGTTAATCATATGGGGAAAGAAGTTTGATCATACCAGAGGATGTGTCTGTTTATAGTTTACATACATAAGTAGAATAGGAATACAGCAAAAAAGGAATTGACATGGTCTGGAGTAGTCAAGGAACATCTCATAGAGGAAGTGAAACTTGATCTTTTAGCTGAATGATATGTAGTATTATATAGTAAAGAATATAGCCTTGCCCAATGACATTTGCCTTTGGCTTCTGGCAGGTAATCTCTAAGCCCTTGGGATATGTATTTGTTTGCCTGAGAATCTTTGGCCAGCCAGAAAGTAACAATGTAATTTAGGGTGAGATATTTGAGCCACACCAACATTGTGATTTGGGGCGGGGCTTTTAGATCACACAGTATTAGCTGGACTTCTTAAGGGGCTGAAAACTGAGATGGGCTACATGTATAGTTAATCATGACTATGTGATGGAGCCCCAGTATAAACTCAGGACAATGGGCTCAGGTAAAGCTTCCCTGGTTGGCAATATTCTGTATGTATTGTCACACCAGCAAGGTAACGCTGTCTGTGACTCCACAGAGGTCTACCAGAAGCTTCATGTTTGGTATTTTCCTGGACTCTGCCCTTTATGTTTGGCTGATTCTAATCTGTATTTTTTTCATCTGTGATAAACCATAACTGTGGGTACTACAGCTTTTAGTAAGATCTGTGAGTCTTTATAGCATATTGTTTATATTAGCAGTATCTTGGGGACCCCCAATCTTACAGTTGGTGTCAGAAGTGAGGGTGGTCTTGTGTGTACTACTGTACCCTCTAACTTTGTAGTTGGATAACTTTGCAAGTGTCTATATGGGTATATAGCAGCTGTCATATAATGAAGAGTCCAGTTGTGAGGAATGAAATCAATTATATGGAGTACATCTGGGAGACTAGAACAAAGAGAGATGAGCAAGAGTTCTCAGTCACAGAGAGAAATAAATTTGGAATGATCAGATGGGATATTCCTCTATCAGCTCTTGAAAAAGAAGGGATTTAAATTTCATGTAATAAGTGATATCTTTTTGGCATATTGACAATATAAACTGAAAGAACTGGGTAAAAATAATGGCAAATCCAAATAGTAATTAAAGCAGTTACTGAAGTAATATGTTCTCACTTTGGAAGAGGTCAGTAGCAAATGAGGATATGAGAGATATAAAGATATTTCACTTTGTGAAATAACACAAATTGTGGAGAGATCAAGTATAGCAGAGATGATGGAATCAACCTGATACTACTAGAGGCTAACTATGGGGAAAAAAGGATATAGAAATAAATAAGGATAAGGTAAACATACGGGCTATTATTTATGATATGTCAATAACCAAAAGGATGAGATAACTGATTGCTGTATTGAAAATATACACTGGAGTTCAGGTGGGAGAAGTGGGCTGAAAATTTGTATTTGAAAGTATTTTATTCACATAAAACAAGAAAGTCACAACTTGAAAATGGATCAGATTATTATAGCTGACAGGACTTTTACAAAGGGAAGAACTGAGGATTAAGAAAGATCCTTTAAGGATACCAACGAGAGACCACTGAAATAAAATCCATTTCTTTAACAAATATTTATTTTCCCAGGCAATAAGGGGTAAGAAAAGCAATGAAGATGTGAAAAACACTTGG